AAAGACAAGCTGAGCGCGACAAAGCATCACCTCGATTAACCATTCCCCTCGGTCGACCCCCTCGCACTGACGAACCACCTCGCTCACCTCATCACTGGCGTGATCCCTGGTCGGAGATTGAGGAGGGGAATGTACCGCCAACACCTCCGCGAGACTCACTCGGTCCAATCTCCCGCCCAGATCAGTACGCCCGCTTCATCGAAGGCACCACGACCCCACTCACGATCATTCCCGATCGCAAATTTCTAACCCTGTATCTCTCAACGGCACCTGCAGAAGGGGAAGCAACGGCAGAAGCAGAAGCAGAGGAGGAGAACAACGAAGCAAAACAAGGAGAAGAGGAAGAACCCTCAATCCAGATCCCAGAACTCACAGCGGAGGAGGCAGCAGAGTACCACACCCGCTACAAGCGCACCTCCGTCATCCGTGCCGAGGATGACCTCTGGCACCAGCGGATGGGACACCCCTCGCGCCAGGCACTCGCCAATTGCCTCCGTGCAAAAGTTTTTCCGCAAGGAGCACTGCTGCGCCCCGACGGGACGGAGCTACAACACACCACCCCCCATCCAACCACTTGCACTGTCTGCCCCACAGCCGCACTCTCTCACACTGCCTATCCCTCTCTGGAGCCAAGCACCAACCGCTACAAGAAATTGGAAAAGGTGTACAGCGATTTCATCGTACTCACCTTCGATGGACTCAACGGCGAAAAGTACACGCTGACCTTCATCGACGCCTACTCACGCCACGTGTGGGTTGCCAATGTTGACGCCCGCTCCAAAGCCCCGGAGGTGTTCCGTATCTTCCTCGCACACGCGCAGCGACAGTCGGGAAGGAAACTGAAGATCTGGCAGAGTGATGGGGCAAAAGAATTTCGCAGCCATGAACTGGAGAGTGTGCTCACCGAGAAGGGGATTAAGCATGAGATTTCCCTTCCCTATGCTCACCAGCAGCAAGGCGTTGCTGAGCGGGTCAATCGGACCCTCATGACTAAAGTTCGCGCCATCATGAACCAGTCCGGCCTGCCAAAGAAATTTTGGCCGTACGCCATGAATCACGCGGTGCGCCTGCACAACCTCCTCTCCACCACCGCCAACAGGGATAACCTGTCACCCCACATGAAGTGGACCGGTTCAAAGGGAGATCCCTCCATGCTGAGGGTTTGGGGGTGCATGGTGTAGTATCAGCCCACTTCGGCCACAATCGGCAAGTTCGCTCATCGTGCGCGCTGGGGAGTTCATCTAGGACTCAGCCACAAGCACAAAGGATGGCTCATCCTTGACATGGACAACCAGGAAATTGTCCCTGCACGTGACATTCTTTTCTACGAACGGCTCACCTTCACGCAGTGGATCGAGGACGAACGCCATAACCAGGCACGCGGCTACGCCAACAGCGGCCGCAGCTTCGCGACCCCTGAAGATGAAGCAGCAGCAGCAGCAATTCTGGACCGCGACGACACCGACGAACATCCCAGCATCCCCCCTCGCCCACGCGACGACGATGACGATGACAGCAATGACGACCCCGCGCCAGGACCATCACGGCACCAGACAGAACCAAGCACCGCACCACTCGGCTACGAGAGCGAAGATGACGACGTGATTGAAGTCCCCACCAACGCAGACACCACCAACGTGTCAGGCCTTCAACTTCTTGGCCTGCACACGTCCGTCTCTACTCTCGCGCGGACCGTGGAACCTAAGAACCCTCGCCAGGCCCTAACCGGCCCTCACGCCAAGAAGTGGCGTGCTGCGATGGATGCGGAACTGAAAGCACTGGAATCGCGCGACACTTGAGTCCTAGTCGATCGTGCAGCAGTGAAGGGGAGGAGGGTGCTCAGCGGGAAATGGGTTTTTCGTCTCAAAACGAACGCTGACGGTACTATTGAGCGCTTCAAAGCACGTTGGGTCGTACGCGGGTACGACCAGCGTCACGGCATAGACTTCAATCAGACCTTCGCTCCCGTTAGTCGCCATACCTCGATCCGGATTCTACTCACTATTGCCGCCGCGAAGCACCTACCACTGCGACAGATCGACGTGAAGAACACGTTTCTATACGCGTTGGTGGATGCCACCATCTTTGTGGAGCAGCCGCACACCTACGGAGAAGGTGATCCCAGGGTCTGTCAACTGAATAAGTCACTCTACGGGATCAAACAGGCGCCACGAATCTGGCAGCAGCATCTGCACAAAATCCTCCTCGAAATCGGCTTCAAACAACTCCCACACGACCCGGGAATGTATCGCCTCCACTTCAGCGGCGATTACATCCTCCTGACAGTCTACGTAGATGACCTGCTGTATACGCGGACCTGCAACAAACTCCTCGACCAGTTTCATGAGAACCTGGCGCAGCGCGTAGACATCACCATCAACCTCGAAGTAAAGCAGTTTTTGGGGTTAAACATCACTTACGCGCCAGAAGCAATTCATTTGTCAGCCTCCAAGTACGCAGAGCAGCTGGGGGAACGCTTCAACATCTCACCCGCACCACTCTCAACTCCCTACCGCAGCCCGAGCACCAACTTCAAACCAAACAACAAACCTCTGTCGCCCGAAGGACTCCAAATGTATCAGCAGAAGTTGGGGTGCCTGCTATTCGCCTCTGTCACCTGCCGACCCAACCTTTCGTACATCGCTAGCCAACTGGCGCAGTACTCTCGCAAGCCAGTAGCTGAGAACCAGCTGGACCTGGAGCGCGCCCTGCAGTACTTCATCTCCACACCTGACATCGGGCTCTCCTACTCCACGCTGACGACGACCTCCTTCAACCTCAACGGCTACGTGGACGCAGACCACGCAGCTGATCCTGCAAATCGACGGTCCCGAACCTGCTTCATTTTTCGCGTGGAACCAGCTGGACCAATCTCCTAGAACTCCCAGAAGCAGGAGCTGGTTGCCCTGTCATCGGCTGAAGCAGAATACATCGCCGCGACAGCAGCAGTTCGCGAAGGCCTGTACCTGCAGGAGCTGCTGCAGGAGGCGAAAATTCCAACCTCGCCTACCTTTCGCCTTCACAACGACAACCAGAGTGCCATCAAATTCGCGAACAAGCCAGGATTCGTGAACCGCACGAAGCACATCGCGCTTCGGTACTTTTTCGTCAAGGACGAAATCGACCAAGGCAAAGTGGACCTCGCTTACTGCCCGACCACTGAGATGGCAGCAGACTTCCTCACCAAGCGCCTGCCACGTCAGCAGTATAAGCACTGCTCTGATCTCACCGGAGTAGTCAAGCGAGTCAGCTCCACCCGCGCCCAGGAATGAAGGGGAGTGTTACGATGTGAAGTTTTATGAGAAGGCATTCATGTATGCTGCAGGAGCCGACTCTACCGAGTACGAAGTTGAGGAGTCAGGAGAGCCGAAGCGACGCAGCAACCGTCAGACCAAGACCGATGCAGGCATAAACATTTGAAGTGAAAAGAGCGGGAACAGGTTTTGAACGGGTTCCCGCGCCGCACGGTTTTGAATTCAGTTGTAATAAGGGAATGTACCCCTTAGAGTACATGGCTAGGTCCTTTCGTATTCCCTTGTACACTTATATAAACTCGATGTATGCATGCTATTATTAACTCAGTCATTTACATTCACTCTGACCTGAGATTCAAACTTCCGCTGCAACACTACTCCGCGATCAACCCTGAGCGATCCTTTGCTAAGTCCCACTTGGGATTGTAACAATGTTTACACAAACCTGACAAAAATTATTTGCCCAGCCCTTATTGCTTAGAGCTTGGTTTTCCTCCATGCCTTTTGTTTATAGGCGACCTGAACACGCTTGGACACGGTGGCGCTGTTCTGCAGGCGTTAAATTGCCAGAAACTGGGTCCGCAGAATCTTCCCCGATAAGTGGGCTTCTGCCTATCAAGGTTTGGTGATAAGCGCGTTCCTGGCAAACCTGTTCGCGTCAAATTTAACGCTTCTATCTGCAGACCACTACTGATGTGGCGCACTAATATAACATGGTGAAGGTTCCAAGATCGTGCATCGCCAGGCAAATGTCCGCACAACTTGTACGGACCAAATCCGGCCTAGTTGAGAGATTTCATGGCAACTTCTGCCCAGCAAATTGAGAGATTCTACATTTGGTGCCGCTAGAAGCTACACGGAAGGACTAGGTCCGTGCATTTAATGCGAGGGAAAACCAAGCTCCTCTCCCACAACCCGCCCCCACTCCCTCCCCCCCTCTTCCTTCTCTGGCAATGGCCTCACTGACCTTGCCGCCTTTTCCAATCTAGGCCGCAACCCAAATTTTATGCTTGGCATGCTTCATTGGTCGTTCTACAAATCTCCCCTCCTCTCAACGGCCCTTCCGTTCCTCGTACAATAGTATGTAACCGTCAACTCACCCATTTTATCTTGTACAGTTCGCCGAGGAGCCAGTTGTGAGCCTTGTCTCGTCCAGGCCTGTGCCCGTGTACACGAAAATGCGGTCTACGAAATTGCGAGTGACGTTCTGTATCGATTTGAACGGTCGCACGCAGTGGAGTTTTTACATCTTACAGAAGCTACAACTGTACTCTGCCTATTTCACTGGCAGGTAAAGCAGGCTGTCCTATCAAGCGGGCCCATGCTTCGTCGGAACAGACAGCATTCCACGTGGTGTAATGGCTTTCCATGAGGATGGGATGGGACACCATAGGTGAATCCTGTCTTTGCTTTTGCAGGCCGACTTTTCAATCTACCCAGTGGTCTCGCTGCCAGCCACCTGTGTGGCGGATGGCTTCTGAAGGCCGACTTTTGATATGGTCGCTGGTCATCCGAGAGAGAGGAGATAGCTGGACTAATAGAGGGGATTGGGTTCATGTATCGGTACAAACATGTTCACTTTCTCATTATAGGACTTGAAACGAATGAAAAACCTTTCAAAATGCATTTCAAGAACTAATGATACTACAGCCTAACTTAAAAAACTATGAATCTGCACACATGTAGACTCTAACTTGCACAACAGAATTGAACGACACCTTCCGCCTGTGGACTGGGGCAGAAAGATCAGCGCTTGCGCCACTCCCATGAAAGGGGGAAGCGCTGGTGTGTCGCCGCACAAGGCAGGGGACGGGTGATGGGGGAGACGTGGAGCCGCCTGTGGAAAGGTTATTAGGGCTCAGATTAGGAGGGTTTAGGCTGGTAGGGCTCGAGCATGTATTGCAACGGCCGGCCAACTGTGTGGCAGAAGACCTAGGAATCGAGCCAGCGCTTCCCCACCGCTTGACCAACCTACGATCACGTGGGGCGATGAACTGAGTAGTGCCGTTCGACGACGGGACGACGGCGGATGGGACCTTTTCCGACGCTCCGCTGCCCGCTCCCGCTGCGGCGCTCTCCGTCACATGTCCCTCGCGGCGCGCCGCATCCTCGCCATTGCTTGAACACTTTTGAAGATCGGACGGCTGGGGAAGAACACCTGCGGAGTCCTCGAGTAGGGAAAACTCCTGGGAGGTAGTAATGCTGGTGAGCGACCGGGCGCGTCGATGAAGGCGACGCGGGTGCGCGTTGTGAGGCGCGTTCGTCCCTGAGGGTGAGCGCGCCGCGCCGGTGCTGGTCGACGAGGCTCCCTCCTGCGCGCCTGACTCGATGCCTCGATGGAGATCCAACAACATTGCGTGGAAGCTTCGTGAATAATCCTTGAGTCCAGAACCGCGTCGCTCAAGAGCACTGCCAGGTCTTTGATTTGAACGGCTCAGATTCAACGGCTGCGTCAGGACACGGGATGCAGCAGGGGGGAGAAGAGAGCGCCACGCAGCAAACTTAGAGCCGTAGAGCTGCCTTAGCGGCGAAGTGCTCAGAGAATTTTCGACATCGCCATAGTTATCGCCGCGGTCGCAGACGCTCACGTTAGGCTGACCGCCGTGGCGCTCTTTCTCTGTAAAGCTGGTTGCGGCGAGCTCTGCGGCGGAGGCGCTCTCCGATGCGCGCTCCGCGCTCTCCCACGCGCGGTCCATCTCCGCCTCGCGCTCCTGCGCCGATTCCGCCTGCTGGCGGATGATCTCCGCGTGCGGGCTGCGGACGACGGTGGGGGAGCGTGGGCGCCACGATGTTGGTGACGTGGACAACGGCGAGTCGCAAGCTCCGTTCAAACCGCGCGGATTTGAAGCGGACGAACCGCTAGAAGGGATGCGGCGGGAGTTGCGCTGCTCATGTTCGTGGCGAGACGAGGTCTCGGGAGCTTCGAGGACGGTTGCGGGTCTTGCGAGCATTAAGTGCGACATGGATGATTGTCGGTGGTCAATGCCTGAAAATCGCGAGAGGTCCACGGAAAGGCTGTGTGTGCGCTTGCGACGTCGATACAGCTGCGATTCCGTGGACGCTGGAAGGCAGACAGCGGCAGACATGGCTTAATAAGTAGAAGAGGGTAGCAGCACGTGAAAGATAAAAATGTTAATCGACTATCAGGTTGAAGATTGTTCTAAGTTATAAACACGACAGTTCAGTTAGAAACAACTGATGCTATGTCTTCACCTCGTTAAATACTGTACAGCTTTTGCGAGGTAGGGAACGGAGAGGGACTGGAATTGAGAGGGACTGCCTCTTCGCTCCAAATTCACATTCGAAATTCCTTCGTGATGTGACGACTGATGCGCCGTATGCAGTGGTGGCTCGCAGGAGTGCGTGACCCCGTCCTTGAACCGAACTGTGCACCGAGTTCTTTCGTCGTGATGCTGGCCACAGACCATCACAGAAGTAACGTCGGTGAATTTCCACCCTCGGATCAAAGGTTCCAAACGTCAGGATTTGGCAACCCTAAAACCATGCCATAAAAGCGTGCGCGGACTTTCGGGCGTAGGTCTGTGCGTAGTGCAACGACAGCAAGACCAATGATGCAACACAACGTGAGAATCTGCATCCCGTATTCTTTCAATACAGTATACTGGACTGTAGTGCAGCACATCATCTGGTTTCCCTCCCACAGTCTGGAACTGCAATTTTATAGAAAGTTCGGTTTGGTTAGTGCTGACCCTTGCTCACTCACGTTTGAATGTTGCAGATCCGCGAATACGTTTCAAATCGGATGCCATTTATCACTGTACATTGTCCTTGTAGGGCTGCTTGCCATCGACAGAACTTCCCTTCTGCTTTTTAGGGCATTTCAAATAGCACACAGCCTACACTGCGTCACAGAAGCCGTGATCTAGGGATATTTCGATGCTCATAATTATTCAGGGTATGTGAGTTCCTGAGATGCGGTTGGAATGGTTACGCCCTTGTCGTCATCGGTCCCCAGAGCCAGCTTTCGTGACTGCCACATGTGACGGTTCAGCGCGTGAAAGCTCTACAGTTCACCTTTTCCCTTCGCCTCAAAGGTGACCTGTCGAGCTTTTTCTCATCTCTTCATTTTGCTGAGGTGTTGCGAGTGGAAGACGTCAGCGGAATCACCATGCCTCCAGGCATTTAGGGTTGAGGCTCCCTGACCGGATGGGTTTTATTTGTTTTTGCCCGCGGGCAGAGAGCTCCCTCGTGCGTCGACCTGATTCCCCTGACATCTTCCACTCGGCTTCGAAATTGGAAGCGGAGAACCGTACTGTTTGTCAGAACATTCGATTACGCGGTGTTGATACAACGTCAGCGATGACAACTCCAAGGCCGCCATGGCCTGACCTTCAAAGCCTGGAACTTATCGCGCGTGAAGCCTATGTGTCAGCTGGCTTTAAGAGCAACAGTTTCGGCATCGCCTCGTTAAGACGAAGAGTTTGGTGCCTTTTAGGTGTTCATCAGACGAACATTGTACCTACCTCGAAGTCTTACCTGTTGTTATCTCAGCTAATCATTCCCAAGGCTCACTTTATCAGCGATCAACTATCAAGGTCTGCACAACACATCAATGACAACGCGACAGGCTCCTATTGGCATGTCGGATTGCACAGTATCAAGGCGCAAAGCAGTCCCACGGTTCTATCAGCAACTTATCATCATCTGCAGCATGAGCTATGGCATGACGCTCAAGCAGCAACATTATTTAACAGCGTTATGCTCAATCAACCAGCTCATCAGGCTTTCCGTGACTTATTGTCACTTTCGCTGCCGGTGCTCTGTCATCAGTGCAAAATGCCTCGCGCTCCTGCAAAGGGGAAACAGGTAGCAGAAGAAAACTTGTCTATGGAGACCCCTGTGGGGCTTCCTACAACGCCAGTGGCTTCGGATAATGGCGTGACTACGACTCCTGATCCTTTACCGGTGGCTGGAAGCTCTGGCCTGGCTCCTGCAGAGAAGGCTACAACGGCGTGTCAGCTCTCTGCGGATGGATTCCTTGAAGACGATTCAGATGAAGAGCTGGACATCGACATCCAGCAAGAGGCTGCTGCTCGCCTCCGCTTCACAGCCATCCTACTGGTACCCTTCATGCTGCAGCAGGAGCTCGGCGCTGTCATTAACATGGTGTGGACACTCCTGCGTAAGGTCTGGATTTCTTCGCTTACGGAGGGTGCTATTGACACGGCTTCGGTTCAGACTCTCCCGGCTACGTATGTCGTGAAGCAGCATTTCTGTCGCCTTCAGCTCTCTTTCCTGCGGGAGGAAGATGCGATAGCAGTCAGGACGAAGACGGTGGAATATCAGCGGCCAAAGGGGAAGGTCACACTTTTCTGGCAACATACAGAGAACCCGGCTTACCTGAAAGAGAAGGCATCTAACCCTGATGTTATCGAGTTATATTTTAAAGATGTCTCTGCTAACGTCTCCCCTGATTTGCTGAAGGACATGCTCTGCCGGTATCCGTTGAAGATCCGCAAGTCCTCTGCCTTTGCCAAAGGTCTCTGCTTCCACCGGGTTCTCCATCCTGTTACGGGAGCTGATACGGACACGGTGAAAGGGCTGGTTATTGCTCATCCTGGTGACAAACACCGCTGGCGTCATGTCGTCAACAACCCCATGGACACCTCGAAGCAGATCATGGTTCACTACCCTTTACTATCCTGCACGTTCTGTGGCGGACATCATTATGAGAAATTTCATGATATGTTCGTCACCGAACGTCAGAATAATATAGGGAAGTGGAGTTTGAATCTGGGGAGGGTGCACAAGATCAACGGTAACACAGAGAATCCCAACCACGTACCAGTTTTCCCGTTATCCTTTCTGCATGATGCTAACACCTGGATCTCTTGTCGCAGCTGCGTCCATTCGCACGTCGCCGTTAGTCACCCCCATCCTCCTGGACCCTGCCATCGTTTTAATCTCAACTGGCGGAAATCGGGAAGAATGGATTTGCACTCAGGCGGGCTGCGGAAAGGCGAAGGGTTCCTCATTCATGAGTGCTGCAGACCATATCACCTCCGCGGACCACCTGATTCACCTGGAGGAATTGGGCTCGGCAACGAGAGTGACATTGGGAAAAGCAAACATGCCCAGCATCAGGAAGGAGTACGGGATGTAGCAGTACGATGTGATGGAGCTGATATCATTTGCGGCTTTACATGGAAAGGGTGCTGCGATGGGTCTGAAGGATCACCGCTCAGGCTGGCTGTTAGCTGCTCTGCCCTAGGGTTCATCTTTTCGTCTGTCGCTGTTTGTGGCCTTTACTGTATGTGTGCGCTGCTTCGACCCGTGGATGCGGAGGGGTCTGTCGCAGTGGTCAAATGAATAAAAAAGACATGTTCGTGGTGACCGCACTGAACATCAACGGCTTAGGCAGTGCGGCGAAGAGGAGTGCATATAACAAGTGGTTCAAATCAGCGGCTAACGTACTCATACTCACAGACACGAGGGTAGAGGCAGACCACAATTTCTGGACGCAGCTGAACCCCTCTGCTTTCGCGGCAGTTTCGCCGGCGGGAGGAGCGGGTGGTGTTGCGATCCTTAGCTTTACTCCGGGTGTTGTCTTCAAGGACATCCACTCACATGTATCGGGCAGACTAGTAGCGGTGTCGCTGGAGAAAGGAGATCTGTCCTGGCGTATCATTGCTGCCTACTTCCCTGCACAAGCAACAGCCAGAGGTGTTTTCTTTAGAGACTGCCTCTCGACTTTTGTCGACAGCCTCCCGCCGGTGCCTCACACGATCCTCATCGGGGACCTGAACGTGATAGCTGATCCAAGGATAGACAAATCATCAAAGATAGGATCTTCAAGGGAGAACCAGAGACTACTCGACATCTTCACTCCACTTGACATGCAAGACACCTTCCGTACCTTGCATCCGACGAAACGTGAATATACCTTTTATGCGCATTCTGCTAAGGAGCGTTCACGGATCGACAGAGCATTGGTGTCACAGTCTCTCCTTCACAGGGTTGGTAATGCTTACCACTCCTCTGTACCGCATGGCATTTCTGATCACTGGTATGCCGTTTCGGTGGACATCCGCGTTTCAGCGTGCGAGCGCAGAGGACCGGGGTTGTGGAAGATGTATGCGGCACAGGCCAAGATGCCGGGGGTCAAGAAGCGGATTCAGCTGATCATGGGGGAAGATCCGCAGCAGCCGCTCCCAAGTTTTCCCGAGCTTCTGGTTAAACTGCAGTCAAGCATACGTGTATACGCAAAAGAGGAAAAGAAGAGAGTGAAGAAAACAATGGCGCGGCTGGAGGCGACAGTGTCGCAGCTGAAAGATGAGTTTATGAATGGGGATGGTGGTGCTGACTGCTACGAGCAACTGGCCAAGTACGGCTCCATGCTGAAAGCGTATCAAGACGAGGAAAGGGAGCGTCTACAAACTATGGCGGGAGTGCAGACGGAAGTACTTGGGGAACTCCCTTCTCCGGTGCTGTCAAGTCGGATTGCATCTAAAAGGGCGCAGACGATGATTGAGGAAGTCAACTTCAACGGTGCCTGTTTCACGGGGGAGAGGGAAATTCTCATCGCGGCCTCGGAATACTTCACGGCAGCGTTTGCAGCCCGAGAGGCAGAGGCGAGTACTGTTTGGCCGGTCGCCCCTGGCAAGACACTCAGCGCAGCAGAAAGAGAGGGTTTGAGGGTCCCTTGGACGGTGGAGGAGGTGAAGTTAGCAATCCAACAGCTGCCATGCGGCAAAGCACCTGGCCTGGATGGACTTCCGAAGGAGTTGCTGGAGGAGAACTGGGATCTGCTTGGCTCGTGCTTCATGGCCTTTGTAAAGGACTTCGAGAGGTCAGCGGTGCTCACGGAGCAGTTTACGACGGCGGTGACAATACTCCTGCACAAGAAGGGGGACAAATCGATGTTGGAGAACTATCGGCCCATTACACTCTTAAGCGCGACATACAAAATTGTGGCGAAGGTGTTGGCGAACCGGATCAAGAAGGTGCTGCCGTCCGTGATCTCGGACCACCAATATGGTTTCTTACCGGGGCGAAAGCTGGCAGATGCAGTCAATGTTGTCGCTGATGTCATCGACGCGGCGGCAGCGGGAAGAGAGGATTGGTACCTTCTCTTGGTCGACTTCCAAAAGGCGTACGATTCGATCTCTCGGAGATACCTGTTTCAGACGCTTACACGAATGGGCTTCCCGGAGGAGTATGTGAAATGGGCGGAGGGGCTACATGATCACTCCGGAACGCAGCTGCTGATCAACGGCCGGCTGGGAGACAGGGTGGAGATGGAGAGAGGAGTCAGGCAAGGGTGCCCTCTCGCACCGTACCTGTTCATCTGCGCAGCTGAACCACTGAGTCAAGAAATCAGACGGAGAAGGCTGGGGGTGTGGAAGAGAGGTGTTGGTGACGTGGCATATTTGGGTTACGCGGATGATACATCGATCGTTCTGCATCGCAAGGAACAAATCGACAAAGCATGCAAGCTGCTGGACGACTTTGGGGAGATCTCGGGGCTGAAGGTGAACCGAGGAAAGACAGTTGTGGTGCCGCTAGGCAAGAACAGAGGTTTACCTCCGCCGTCGGATGTACCATACACCTGGGCTGGGATAGACGAACCACAAAGACTCCTGGGGATCTGGATAACCTCGGGTGGTAACCCGGAGCCATCTTGGGAAAAGGCGGCTGACAGAGCGGGGGAAGTGCTGGTGAAGTGGCAGAACCAACACGTTAAAACTTCGGCGAGGGTATCGGTGCTGAACTCGTACGCCACCCCTATCCTTCTCTTCCAGGCGCAAGTCTACCCGCCACCGAAGGGGACGTGGAAAGAGTTCAGAGCCACCAGCCACAACTTCACGTCCAGCGGCAAAGCCTCAGCAGACAAGCACTTTGTCCTGTGGAGTGGGGAGCTGGCTTACATGGACAGGAAGGAAGGAGGTTTGGGGGTGATCAACCCGACAATGCGGGTGGAATGCATGGCGCTGAAGAATCTGGGTGACGCGGTACAGCAAAGAGATCAGATGAAACGATGGTTGATGGAGAGGGCAGCTGGGATGCCATTTGGATGGGCGACTCTGCTTGCTCACCGTTCAATCCTGCGAATATGGAACAAAGGGGGGGAAAAATGGCGGAGGTCGGTGATTACTTTCTGGCAAGTCCTGCAGCAGAAGATTCCCGCGCCTGCGAACCGGTGGGACTATGCAGCAGAAAGGATCTGCTTCAGCAGATACATTTTCTATCGAGGGAAAAGCCCATTTGGAAGGCAGAAGGGCTCCATATGCCTGCTGGAGCTGACCGTGGGAGACTTGGTGCAGACGGACTGGGATGGCACAAAAAGGGCGAAAGACATGTGGGCTCTAACTAAGGAGACAGGCAGCTCGACAACGGCACGATGGGCTCTCAAGGCTTGGAAGGCGGTACCAGGGGAGTGGAAGGAAGCCCTCCTTGCGAGACTGACCGGGGGTGAAGTTCTGAAGCTGACGCGCTTCGCCTGCACGCGTTCTCTGGCAGGCAAACCTCTGTACTGGCAGCTATTAGCAGAGGATGGCGATGGAGTCCTGTGCAAGCCGGCGGAGGTGGGGAAGAGAGGGGAACTACTTCTGTCGAACAGAGCAAATCAACTCCGAGTCGAGACCCGCAGACTAACTCCGTTACTGGTGGAGAATGACCTGCTGATGGGAGAAGCGGGGCTCGCGCTCACAAGGTTGAGGCTGTCGGTGCTATGTGAGAAAGGAAAAGGGGCCACTCTGAAGAAGCCGAGGGCGGTTCTGAAAGGGCCGGTGGAGCAGCCGAAGCAGCAGAAGAAGTGGGAACAGGAGTATGGGAAGCCTGTGGATTGGAATGGGGTTATCCGGAAGAGGGACACCCTGGTTACCCCGGGCAGCGCGCGCGAAATCATTTTAAGGCTTCATAGCAAGAATCTGCAGGTGGGGGAGAGACTGAAGTTCATGAAGGATCGCATCAGCTGCCCGCACTGTGCAGAGGACGAAACCCTAGCCCACTGCTTGCTGGAGTGCGGCTGTATACAGCCTGTCATCGGCGCGGTTAAGGGGGCTTTGCAGCAGATGAATCCAAAAAGGGAGGTGGAGAGACTCGAGGACTTCCTGTTTGGGGCGGATGGCACGATGTCAGGTTTTCCGGAAAAGCCGCTGATTGCGGTTGCCTTTCACCAGATCTGGCTGGAACGCTGCGAAGCTGCCTTTCGACAGGGGAGATTTCAACCACAGAGAGTGCTCCGGAAGATTGGGGTGAACTTCATGAAGCATGTGAGGATCTACAGTGCCTACAAGAGACAGGTGGCAAAGAGTGATGGGCGGAGTGGGGCAAGGGGTTGGCCTCACCTGGCACAGGACGAGGCTGCAATGCTGAGCCGGATTTTTGAAGATGGGAATTCGCTGACGTGGAGGGAAGGTTTCAGATCCGTGTGGGCTAACCCGAGAACTGCCTTCCAGCCGCCTTAGAGTGTTACGGAAGGGCTGAGTAGACTCCCTTGTCTTCCTGGTCCCTTCCTCCCTCACAGTTACGACTGTGGATGTACACACTCTATAGTGCATTGCATCATTAAAAAAAAAAAAAAAAAAAAAAAAAAAAAAAAAAAAAAAAAACATTCGATTGTGGGAAGCTACGAACCCGAATTGCTCGAGCAATTTGCGAGGCCGTGTCTTCCGCCTGTCATTCTGCCTGTTGATTCATCGCCGAGCCTAGGGGTGATCAAAGTACTGCACCAGATCCACGTCGAGGGAAGTCGGTGAATCCTGACGGTTGGAACCGTTGATCCGAGGGTTGAAAATCATCGACGTTCCTCGACATCGAGCTGGTGCACAACTGTACACTGTACTTTAATCACCCTAGCTTGACTGCACCTTGCCCTGACTTCTGGCGGTTCGTGCCCAGCATGGTGGTTCTGCGCGTCGTTTTCTGCCTCGACATGACCGCACCACACACACACACACCACCGCTCTGTGGCATAGACGCGGTTCAGCCATGGCAAGATTGGGATTCGAGGGTAAACCGTACTAAACCGTTATTTAAACCTACAAATCAGCTCGAACTCTTTTTGAAACCTCCTAGGAAGCTTCGTCATGATCTTTTCACTTCTAACACGTCACGCGCACACTTTAGTTACGATAACCATGTTTGTAAAAATATACGCAGCAGAAATTTGCATGTAAATTTCAGAATTAAACGGATTTCCATAAATGACGGCTCAATTTACGTTATCACGGGATTAGAGGGAAGCACTTGCAAAGAAATTTAGAACTAGCAATATGGAAGAAAGCCAATTCAGCCACCATGCTAGGATCAGCCTGCATATCTTTTGTGTCACCCCATGATATATCCTCCAGTCCTTGATTGCCCTAAGTGTGGCTCGTCCTGGACAAGTATCAACTATCTTACTTCTTTTTCTCAGCAGCGGCAGCCTTGGTCTGCATCAACGAACATAATTAGCACGACTATGGATGTTAGTAGACAGCAAGTTTTAAACTCAACAAACCCAATTAAAAAAAAACACGAACACGCATAAAACAGCAAAAAAAGGGGGGGATGTTGCTGCTGCACTCACCTTCTTGACACCGCGGACCTTCTTGGCTCTTGTCCTCCTCTCCTTCATCAGCTTGCGGCTCTCCTTGTTCCTCTTCTCCTCCAAGCCATTCTGTTCCAATCAAAACAAGGCCACCACAGCAACAACCACCGAAGAAGCATACACACATGAAAGGGGTTGGGGAAGAGAGGGAAGAGGTACGCCAAGGGGGGAAAAAAGCACCAGGTGGTTACTTAGCATTACAAAGAATTGTGAGCTTCAACATGGGGAGGACAACTTGCGAGCCCACATTGATTTTGCTGCTCGCAAATAAGTGAGCACTAGTAATTCCTGCATAATGACAACTCATACCTCATAAACATGAGTGGGCACTCCACTGTAAAGCAGTGGAAATGGAAACGACGCCATTACCTCATTTGCACATCTCAAGTCTACATCACGTTCAACTTACCCGTTCGCATAAACATCAAGAAACACTCACTCCTACAGGATTCGAACCCGCGACCTCTCAGCTGCTCACCCTGACTAGGCGGTATTTGGGCTCAAACTTCTTGCCGGCCTCGAGCTGGTCGTAAATGAAACCCAAGCCCGTGGACTTGCTGCTGCCAGTAGATTCACCTAAAGAACACCCTCTCCTACCGGACTCGAACCCACGACCTCTCAGCTGCTCAGTGCTCACCCTGACGAGGCGGTATTTGCGCTCGAACTTCTTGGCGGCCTCGAGGTTGTCGTAGATGAGCCCGAAGCTCGTGGACTTGCTACCACCAAACAGATTTACCAAAAAACACTGTTTCCTACCGGAATTGAACCCACGACCTTTAGGTTGCTCACCCTGACGAGGCGGTATTTGGGCTCGAACTTCTTGGCGGCCTCGAGGTTGTCATAGATGAGCCCGAAGCCCGTGGACTTGCCGCCACCGAACTGCGTGCGGAAGCCGAACACGAAGATGCACGACAGGTCGCTCTTCTCGTAGATGGCGCCCAGCTTCTCCTTCAGCTCCGACTGGCGCGCGGAGACGCGCGGAAGGGGAGGCGGAAGCGCAGGAGGGAGCGGCGGGGGGGGAGTAGCGGGAAGGGGCGGGGGGGAGAGAGGAGGAAGGGGCGGGGAAAGGGATGGGGAAATGGGAGGGAGGGGAGGGAGAAAGAGAAGGGGAGAGAAAGAGGGGGGAGGGATGGGGAACCGGAACAGAGGGATGTGATTTTGATCAACTACGACTCCAGGGAGGACAAGAGGAGAAGGGGAGAGGGGGGGTGTGGGGCGGGAAATGGGGGGATAGAGTGGGGCACGGACATTCAAAGGGGACGGGCAGTGGAGAGAAGGTGCGGGGAGAAGCAGAAGCGCAAAAGCGAGGGGTAGTGAAGGGGTTGAGAAGTGTGGAGAGGGGCAAGGGAGACGGGAGGGGGAACTGGGGCAGGGGCGGACATTATAACGGGACGGGGCTGTGGAGAGAAGATGCGCGGAGAAACAGGGGCGCAAGGAAAGCGGGGGAGTGAAGGGAAAGTAGAGATAGGCAAGTGAGACAGGAGGGGATAGGGACGGATGAAACGCAGGAAACAGAATGACAAACTGCGCAAGTAGGGACGCGGTATAAATGGCAGGAAGGGGTGAGGACTGCAAAGCGGGAACGGCCCTAGCTGAGAATGGAGCACGCAGCAGGTGAGAATGGAGCACGCAGCAGGGGAGAGTAAATCGCGCTGCAGAGGAGGCACACAGAGAAACGCGGGGAGCGGGGGAGGAGTGTACCTTGGACACGTTGGCCTTGCCGGGGTGCAACACGTCGATGATCTGCCACGGCGGACGCACGGGAGGGGGCGCAGGAAAGACAGGGAGAGCGGCGTGAGAAGGGATAGCCCGACATAAGGGAGAAGAGGCGAATGCTCAGCAAACGGAGGGAGAGAGTGCGAAGAGGGAAGGGGGAGAATGGAAGGAGGAGATAGGAAGGGGAGTGGGGGTAGGGTAGGGGGTAAAAAGTGTCTGCTAAGCGAGTATAACGCAAAAGCGGTGGGTGCAGCGATTGGAACGATAAAGGCAACGGAAAGGGAGGGTCAAGTTGCGAAGGGTAAATCTGGCCTTCCCGGAAACATAGGCATGCCCCAGCTTCTGATGAGTTTTTTTTCGAGAGTAAATAGGCATGAGGCAACCTAGAAACGGGCAGGGGTTTTTACAGCCGACTTGAGAACGTCGCCACAACGCATGTCACACGGGGTAAGAGGAGTGTGGAAAGGGAACGACAGGTGAGCCCTGATCGCTTCCGGTACTCATTAGCCGCGTGACAGCGGAACCCTAAAATAATGTATTTCGGCTAAAATTGACGAAACTGGTGCTCGTCTCGTACGCTCACCCTCGCGTCGACGCTACATCCCCAGCTGCCCTAAATGACAATTCCACTATGCGGTCCGTAAATCTGTAACCTAACAGATCTTCGAATGCAGAGCTGCACTGCCCATCTGAACCAGCCGCCGCATACTCCATTGTGGGCGCTAACACTAATACACTCCTTTGCGCAGAGCCCTAGCATTACTAGGGTTCGAAACGCCACGCCCCAACCTTGAACGTGACGAATCACACCGAGGACTATGCCTTCAGACGCCAACACGCCGCTGTCTACGATCGACCTCAAAACGAACGCTCCTGCGACTACGACGAACCCTAAAAGATGCGACCGTGAGGCTCTGCGATACTTTTTCATCAAATTACGCGACGGCGCGTCACTCGCGCCACACCCGTGTGCAAAAACGGTAAGAACAAGAATCGAATTTGTTATCGAAACTACTCCAAGCCTGCACTCCCGAGTCTAGACTACAGCCGACTGATCGATCACACAGGCAGGGAGAATAATGCGCTCTCCCATTGAGCTATGCGCACACTGATGGCTCCGTGGCTAGCGCACCTAAGCTTCAAACGACACAACGTCGCAGGGCCAAGGCTAACGGGCAAAACGCGCCACGAACTATGCTTGATTGTGCTCGCGCCACGAAGTATGGTCGGCTGTGCTCATGATTCGCCTACAGGCCAAACCAAGCTTACTACGATTAACCTAACCCGGAGTAAACGCGTTAATAAGGAAGGAACAGGGCCGGGGAGGACGCTCACAAACTGCTTCCGCTGCAGCAGACGGTTGGTCATGAACTTGCGCGTCCGCACGGTGCAGGCCTTTGCTTCCGCCATGGCTGCGGCTCTTATATTCTCCTTAAACTGGGAAAGGGAAAGGCTACGAGTGGTACTTAAAGTGCTGCAGCAGCGCCAGTTGCGCGTGCGGGAGATACGGAGACCCGAGAGGAAGAAAAAGGTCCGAAAGGATCCTAGAATATGCGGGAAGAGGTATGTGTAGCAGGCGAGGGGGGAATTACTACGGGGGGGAGAAATGGGAGAGCTGGCGGATAGGGAGTTTGCGCGGAGAATGCGGAAAGTGCGACAATGCAGGGGAAAATCACGAGGGGAAGGGGGGGGGGGGGGAGTTGTTTGTCAGGGTGAGGACGAGGTGTTGGGGTTTTTGGGGACAGAGCTTTTGGGCTTCGTGTTCGACCTTGCAGCCCGATGAGATCAATCTCGTTATAGGCGGACTCTCTTTGAGCACGTGCACGAACTGATTGAATGTCTAAACTACACCTATTTATGTAAAGACCATTGCCAATGTGCTGTGCTGGTAAAATACCTTCTGTTATGCTCCCAGATAAATAAATATAACGCTGGTAGCTGGTGTGATCGCAAGTTAACGGGCCACATCATGGACGTTGATTACATACTTAATCTTGTCCTAGAAAGTCCCCTCCCGTGTGCCATGTCTCACATTTATACAGGCCATAACTTTTGCATGTGTGTTAGTGATCAACCCTAATCAGACGTACAGTAAGATAATAATAATAGAGTATACGAATGGGCCTGCAACTCAAACTACATGCTCCACTTTGTCTAAAAGTTCGTGCATCATATCAGAATGTGATGATGGCTGGTCTACCATATTCATCCTAACCCCCGGATTATGGTACAGCATGGCAACGGTTCTAGCCGTAGACCATGATCACGTGCATTTTGCCATCATCTCTTTTATGCTCGCTACTTGCTCGTCAGTAGGTGTACCCACACCCCACTCCTCATAAGATGTCATGTCCTCTGCCAAGGGAGCCACGTCACCCACAGCATGGCTCGACAGAATGTTCTTGAAAACAGGCTCCTTGGTGCTTGAGCTTGTCCCCCCCAGCTTGACATTGTTGAGGGAGATCCCAGTGCAGGGCACCGTATCGCTACACTCCATATCCATCGCATACCTGCAGTAACGGAATGGAGAAGGGAATGCGGCAGAGCACTGTACCAGGTCAGCACAAGCTTGCTTGGCATGTGACTATGGACGAGTGGATCACAGCAGCACGATGGTTTAAGGGAGGCACGAAGAGAGAAGGTGCTGGAGATCCCCTGACTTGGAAGCGGTGCCGTTGACGATTAAATGCTGTGGATGACTCATAAGGCGCCTTTTGAGTCGACTGGAAAGATATGTATTTGGTGGAGCAAGGAGCCACTCACTTGGAGGCGGTGCCATACACATGGGTGTACGAGATGTTCACCAGCGCCACGTTGTGGGGCGATGGGTCGCAGGGGAAGTCCTGATTGTCGTCACAATAGAACTGCAAAGTGTTGATGGGGATGAGAGGAAAAAGGGCACGAGGGGGGGTTTGAGGAACTTTTTGGCACTTGCTGAACTTTTTGCACTTTTTGGCACTTGCTGAACTTTTTGCAGGCTTGCCATCACAGCAGAGCCACGCTGCGGGGCGATGGGTCGCAGGGGAAGTCCTGATTGTCCTCACAGTAGAGTTGAGGGGAAAAGACACATATGGGGGTTTGAGGACCACTATGGAACTTGCCGATTTGTTTGTGGACTTGCCATCAGAGTAGTGTTGCGGAGATTTGAGAGTGCGAAAGAGAGTGAGACACACAGCAAAGCATGAGCAGGAATCAAGGATTTCGAAAGAAAGCGGCGCAGAGTAGTGCGGGTTGAGAAAGGAGGTGCAGAGTCGGACTTACCTGATCTAGTGTAATCGCTCGTTCGATGTTTGTCATGTACACGTTCTCGTACTGTACATTCCGCACCATTCCCAAGCCGCCCTGCCACGTCTTGATCCTCAACCCATTCGACAAATCCGATAGAATCAAATCCTTGAAGCTCACATCCGACACACACGCCACCGCCCCCCCTGCTCCCAAACTCCCAATGCTGATCCCGTGCCCTGACGTGGCAATCAGATTCCGGACCGTCACGTTGGCCACTGCCTGGCTGCCACGTGCCACCAGTGACACGTCATCATCGCCTCCGTGGAAGGTGCAATTCTCAATGAGCGCGTGGCGCACGCCGAGCAGTTTCAGGCTGTCCGTGTTGGGCGACTCGTCTGGCGCGTTGGTAGTTAATCTCCTCACCCACAGCCTGTCGATTCCGTAGGAGAAGACGTGGTACATGGGGGGGTTGCTGGGGGATGGGGGGAGGCGCGGGGGGGGATCGGGGAGATGGGGGAAGTGGAGGGGAGAGGAGGGGAGAGGAGAGGGTGAGGAGGGGGAGAAGATGCCGTAGGAGAAGACGTGGTACATGGGGGGGTTGCTGGGGGATGGGGGGAGGCGCGGGGGGGGATCGGGGAGAGGGGGGAAGTGGAGGGGAGAGGAGGGGAGAGGAGAGGGTGAGGAGGGGGAGAAGATGCCGTAGGAGAAGACGTGGTACATGGGGGGGTTGCTGGGGGATGGGGGAGGAGGAGGGAGGGGAGCGGGCAGAGGAAGGGAGAGGAGGGGCGAGAAGGGGGTGAGGAGGGGGAGACGGCGACACAGGAGAAGACGTGGTACATCGGGGGGTTGCTGGGGGATGGGGAAGAGAGAGGGGGGAGGGGGAAGAGGGGGAGGCGAGGGGGGAATGAGGAAGGGGGGAGCAGGGGTAGAAGGGCGAGGAGATGCCATAGGAGAAGACATGGTCCATAGGGACGTTGCGGGGGGATGGGTGGAGGAGGGCCGAGAAAGGGGAGGGGGGAATCGGAATGAGGACGAAGAGTGGGCGAGAACGGGGGAGCAAGGGCGAAGGGCGAGGGGATGGCACAGGAGAAGAGAAGACGTGGCACATAGGGACGTTGCGGGGGGATGGGTGGAGGCGCAGAGGAAGCGGGGAGAGGGGGGGGGAGGTGCCGTATTAGAAGGCATGGGGGGCTTCGTGTGGTTGGGCAGCGGGGGTGTGAGGCGAGCAGTGGGAGGAGGGCGGGAGGAAGTGCTAGGGAGAGGGGATATGGTCGGGATAACTGTAGCACATGGAGGGTTGCGGGGGATTGGGTTGGGTCGGGGTGGGAAAAGGAGAGAGACCAGAGGGGCGACGAAAGAGAATCTGCAATCCTTGGACGAGAGGTCCTTGGAAAAGATTCTTGGACGAGAGGTCCTTGGAAAAGATTCTTGGACGAGAGGTCCTTGGAAAAGATTCTTGGACGAGAGGTCCTTGGAAAAGATTCTTGGACGAGAGGTCCTTGGAAAAGATTCTTGGACGAGAGGTCCTTGGAAAAGATTCTTGGACGAGAGGTCCTTGGAAAAGATTCTTCCTCACGCTACTCACCGCAGCGTCCTAATGCTAATCAGCTACAACGATCAGCACCAGGACGCTACTCACCGCAGCGCTATTCCACCCAGGTGACAGGATCAACAGGATGCCACTCACCGCAGCGCTATTCCACCCAGGTGACAGGATCAACAGGATGCCACTCAGCGCAGCGCTATTCCACCCAGGTGACAGGATCAACAGGATGCCACTCACCGCAGCGCTATTCCACCCAGGTGACAGGATCAACAGGATGCCACTCACCGCAGCGCTATTCCACCCAGGTGACAGGATCAACAGGATGCCACTCACCGCAGCGCTATTCCACCCAGCTATGCCACTCAACAGGTGGTCGGGATACGCTACTCACCGCAGCGCTACGCTGTCGAGAATGACCTCGCGGCAGTTGATCAGCGACAGCAGGTGCGGCCGGTCGTGCGCCTCGGTATCCCAGTACCCCTCGCCGTTGCCGTCGAGGCTGCCACTACCGCGTATGACCAGCCCCGTCACCCCTAGGAACCGGAACATGCCGTTACTCGCCACGCCGATCTTGTCCTCGTTAATGTACAGCGACGGTTCGGGATAACCCTCTGCGGTTTTTGGGCCGTAGATCGTCGCGTCGTCGATTTGCAGCGTCAAGCCAGCGCCGCACGATCCGTTCACCGTGATCGAACGGCTGAGATAGTACTTGACGCTGTTCCCGTCCGCCTCTCGGCTCCGCTCCGCCAGCACACGGTTCCGCTCCGCCAATCCGCGCCTCTGCTCCCCCAACCTCCTCTCCGTCAGTCCGTGGTTCTTTTGCGCCAATCCGCGATGGTTGAGCAGCCACTGCATCGTATCGCTAACCACGTGCGCGCCGCTTGCTCCGCTTCCCCCGCTTCCGTTTACCCCCCCGCCGTTGCCGTTGCCGCCTCCGCTGCTGGAACCCTTCAACGCGTCCACGTTAGCAATCGAATTGTCGACGTTGACGTTAACGTTAACGTCCGGCATTGTGACGTCCGCGACCGTCGGCAGATGAGGCATGTTATCCGCGGTATTGTTGGGATCGCTATTCGCGGACGAGTCGTTCCCGAGTGTAGTGTCAATTCCGTTGCCAGCGGCACTGCCGTTGGTGCTTTTCGTACTAGCGATTCGGCCAGAATCCTTCCTACCGCCATCCTTGGATGATCCCCCCGCGGAAGAGCTCCCCCCGGAAGATCCTTCCGCGGACGGCGGAGCGACGAGCACGCGGACGCGCACGCTTTCCGCCTCCGCGAGCTTGCAGGCGGCGTCGAAGGCGCGGCGGAAGGCGCCCCAGCTATCCCCGCGGCCGTCGGGCTGCGCACCATAGTCCGCCACGTGGAAGGTGGCGGCGGAGTCGTCTCGCGGAAGCGGCGCAACTCCCGCGTACTCCTCGGGCCAGGAGGGCGGCGGAGGGAGGAAATCGGACGACGACGAGCTCTTCGCTGTAACGGGGTAGAACGACAGACGGGGGAAACGTGAGAACTACAAGTCAGTATAATTTGATGGAAGGCGACGTGGTTCTGCAGGTGTATTGGGGGGTGGAAGGCGGCGGGGTCTGAATATAAATGGACGGGAATTTCAACTAAGGGAGGGTGGGAATCTGGTTGAGAGCGAGCGGAGAAGGACGGGTGAAGGGCGTGACAAGATTGCGCGGAAGTTGAGACGCGTTCGGTTCCGTCAGCCCGAGGGAGTACGCGAATTGCGGAAAGCAATGGGCGGAAGAAGGTAGTGCTAGAGTGAAACAGGGATCCCCGCATCGGGCTTTACCGAGAGCGAGCAGTGGAAAGGCAGCAAGACAAAGGCCGAGTTTTTCAAAAAATACACAAACAACCTGTCTCACAAGGCTCGAGCTTCACGAAGCAGGGATAGGCATATCGGGTCTTACCGAGAGAGAGCAGTGGAAGGGACGCGAGGCAAAGGAGAGCAACTGCGCGATGCGTAAACAAGCGGCGTGTTAATGGAGGCGATAATGCGGATTCTCCCATGGCTGCAATCTAGGAGTTGAGCGTGTTAGTCAAGGACGAAATAGAATGGAAAAAGACGACGAAGTCCTGAACCGCAAGAAATAGAAATACCGCTGTATCCGAGGTATGGATTAAATTTCGACAGAGCCACTGTTAATCTGTTCCACTGGGGTTACTGCCGTATCTGAGCACAGAGCTTTTATGTGAACGACAATGCCTATGTTTAACAAGTGAGGTGAGGTTTCGCTGATAGTGCAAATCTGGCTCAAGTTGCGAGGAACTTTCGTCGAAGAATAAGCGGAGGAATTGTGTCCCGCCTTTCGACATGCCAAAGACCAGTTAGATTGAACAACCTCGTCGAGTGTTTTCAGTGGAAGCATAGTGAGTGACGAACAGCACTCTCAGTTTATCTGACAAGTGGTGTGGTGGTGATGCTGGACGGTCATGTAGTGGTATCGCGAGCAGGGCTGTCGTTTCGTTTTGGGCCCCCCGGAAAAATCAGGGGGCCCGGCATGTACGACCCTGTATTTAGCAGGGTCGGGGCGAATTTGGCCCTTTAGGCTTCAGGGCTGAAATTGATTTCTCCCTGTAAATCAGGTTTGGCGCGGAAAATTCTGCAGCCTCATTTCTACCACAAAGCTGACAGCTGCAGTCCGCAAGTATTAATAGGCTAGTTAGCAATAGAAAAACTAGTAGCGTCATTCACTACGCACGCGTACAGACTTCCCCTCTTCCAACTCTTAGCAAAGATCTGAGATGTGTTTTGCTGCTGCTCTACCCATTCATGCCTGCTGGTGCACTGCATGACGGGGATCTGAGATGTGTTTTGCTGCTGCATGTTGGTTCACGCTACTGTCTGTGTGTCGTGGGATGGGAGCGAGGTTATGATTGGTACAAGTACCAGTTGTATGTTGAGTTGAATCTGTGGCCCAGCCACGCAACTCCAAATTAGACAGGTTTGAATGCAATCAAAATAGAAACAGGGGGAGGGGGAGTGGAGGAGTTTGGGGGAAGGGGGAGAGGAGTGGGAGGGCAAGTTCGAAAAGATTTTGTTCCAGGGCTCGTAAAAAATCTACCCTTAATACTCCAGACCTAAGCCCGAAATCAGCCCTGTAAGGAATCAGGGCCACAATTTTTTCAACCCATCAATTTCAGTTTTCAAGGGCAACCCAGCCCTGGAATTCAAGGTCCAGCAGGGCAAACGCCCTGCAAGCGACAGGCCTGATCGCGAGTCGTGGTGACTCCCTGTCCCTGATCACAGACAACAAACGAAGGAGAGGCTGTGAGGAGGTGGCATCTGTTCTGTTCTGTTCCTCCCGTCTCGCGAATGCGAATGAATTAGCGCTTCGCAGAGTGCGGTTCCGTCATCGCGCTCTGAGCAGTCAACTTGTTCTTCCAGTCATTTCAGGTGAACGGGTCGCATGCGATTTCAGTACCAGTGTCGCACACTTCTGCAAGAAACGCGTAACCAATAGGATACTATAACGGCGCGTGATGGTGACAGACTCTGTCGCAGATGGATATGGCCGCACGCCAGCCAATAAAAAACACCAACAAAAATTCGAGAAGCTTCGAAGGACTTTCTTTTGATTAGCTTGGTGAGAACACGCAAAAACAGTTCATACACTAAGAAAGTTACAGATGTAATCAAACCCAGCCTATAAGAATATATAAAAGCAGTAGTCATGTCTCAGAACTTGGCAATACAGACTACTACCCTTGGTTGATGGAGCTGAGAACCACCTCCCTTTCCATAAGTAATAATTTCTGAAGAGAAAAAAAATCACAGAGGAGCCAGGCACAACAAATGTCACACAAACAGCGGAGAAAAACTAAGTGAAAAGAAAACTGCCAGAAAATGTGGTACAAATAGTATTTTCCACAGACGAGACCCACCTGGAGCTGCTGGGGTGTGAAGATTTGATGCAGCGTGCCCTGGGCCACCAGAGCCGCCACATCAGTTGCTTCCATGACCTCTGCTGCTGCTGCTGGATCCACATGCACTGATGGCTCCAGCTGCTGCGCCATAAACACCCGCACCTGCAGTAAACGATTGTGACAATAATGGAACGTGGGTGGAGATTGGATACAGACTTGAGTTATGACGGGAACAGATGCATGTACTAGACACTCGCATCGATACGCCGAATGCAACCCATGCATGTAAACATAAAAGAGTTGCAGACCAACTTAACATAACGAGTTGCAGACCAACTTAACATAACGAGTTGCAGACCAACTTACCATAACGAGTTGCAGACCAACTTAACATAACGAGTTGCAGACCAACTTAACATAACGAGTTGCAGACCAACTTAACATAACGAGTTGCAGACCAACTTAACATAACGAGTTGTAGACCAACCCCAACCCCCATACACATAGACATAGGGAGACACCAACCCATACAATTCATACTAGATAAGAGAGACACACAGCTACACTCACCTCCTGGCAGCGCAAGGCAAGGGTGGGAAGGCAGCACACACGGCACAGCCGGCGCATGAGCCACGGCGCAGGCTCAGCACCCCGAGCCTCCGCTGCTGCTATGGTGCCAAAGCTGTCAGCGGTGGTTCGGGAGAGGCTTGGGCGGTGGGTGGGTGGGTTGGTGAAGGCAGCACAGCGCACCACGTGCATGCGAGCCGCAGGGTCCATGTGAGGTAGTTCCGCTGAGAGGGACACAGGGAAAGGGAGAGAGAGGGAGAGCAAGGAAAGAAGAAAAAAAGGAGGAGGGGGGGGGGGGGGGGGGGTGGGGGGGGAAGAGAGAGAGAGTGAGTGCTTATTTGCAGCACAGTGCACCCCGTGCATGCGAGCAGATCTTCAGACATAATTCTCAGGGAGCAGGCAGTAGTGAAGCTAGGCTTAAAGCAAAAGAACAAAAAAGGGAATGCGAGCAGTAGTGATGCATGCGAGCAGTAGTGATGCATGCGAGCAGTAGTGATGCATGCGAGCACCAGGGTCCATGTGAGGTAGTTCCGCTGGGTGGGATACAGGGAGAGGGAGAGAGAGGGGGGGGGGGGGGGGGAGGGGGTAGAGGGAGTGAGTGCATGAGCAGTGCACAGTGCATCACGTGCATGCAAGCAGCAGGGTCCATTAGAGGCATTTTCGCTGGTAGGCAGGAATGGAGCGAGGGAGAGGGAGCAGAGAAATAACCGGGGGTGGTGGAAAAAGGGGAGAGAGTGAGTGCATGGCACGAGAGCAGCAGGGTCAGTGTGGCGGCAGTCGCGAAGGGGGGGGGGGGGGGGAGGGGTTAGGGGAAAGACGAGCGAGATGGGAGAAACGCACCTTTGACAACACGAGCCATGATGCGCACAGCAGGGCTCTCCACATCCACACTCACTCCCTCCCTCACTCGCTCGTCACTGCTGCTTGCCCGTTTGCCTGTTCACTTGCGCTTGTACACAGGAATCAAAACGCACCTTTGACAACACGAGCCATGATGCGAACAGCAGGGCTCTCTACATCCACACTCACTGCCTCACTCGCCCCCTCCTCTCCTCCGGTCCCCAGACAGCGAATGGCGAGTGTGAGCAGGCGCGCGTCTGAGGGGTGCGCTGCCACGTCGACCTGAGAGACGGAGGGAGAGGTGGAGAGTAAGGGGGGAGATGAGGGTGGTAGCGAGTGTGAGCAGGCGCGAGTCAGAGGGGTGCGCTGCCACGTCGACCTGTGGGACGAAGAGGGGGAGCAGTGCGAGAGTGGGGGAGCACGGGGGGGAAGGGTGGGGACGAGTTGGGAGTGAGCAGAGGGGACCAGCGAAGGCGAGCGTGAGAAGGCGCGCATCAGAGGGGTGCGCTGCCACGTCCACCTAGAGACGTTTACGAAGTGGAGATGGGGGAAGTGGGGCGGGCAGGGGGAAGGGGGGACAGCAGAGAATGTAGAGGATATGGTGGAAGGGGGTCAGAGGGGTGCGCTGTGCTGTCACGTCGACCTGGCCGTGCGTCCGCGTCCGCCTCGCTCATCCCCACATGCCATGAGTGCCGAGTGCTGAGTACTCACCCTGACTTGTCGCACCTCTGCCTCTCTCATCCCCACATGCCATGAGTGCCGAGTGCTGAGTACTCACCCTGACTTGTCGCGCCTCTGCCTCTCTCATCCCCACATGCCATGAGTGCCGAGTGCTGAGTACTCACCCTGACTTGTCGCGCCTCTGCCTCTCTCATCCCCACATGCCATGAGTGCCGAGTGCTGAGTACTCACCCTGACTTGTCGCGCCTCTGCCTCTCTCATCCCCACATGCCATGAGTGCCGAGTGCTGAGTACTCACCCTGACTTGTCGCGCCTCTGCCTCTCTCATCCCCACATGCCATGAGTGCCGAGTGCTGAGTACTCACCCTGACTTGTCGCGCCTCTGCCTCTCTCATCCCCACATGCCATGAGTGCCGAGAGCATGGCAGCACACAGAGAGGCATCACTGTGAGCGAGAGCACGGAGCATCACAGGAGACTGCTGCTCAGCACTGGTTTCCAAACCACCGTACTCACCCTGACTTGCCGCGCCTCTGCCTCTCGCTCCCCCACGCACGCCATGAGCGCTGAGTGCATGGCGGCACACAGGGAGGCGTCGCCGGGCACGAGAGCCCCTGAGGGGGCCAGCACCGCCACACACGCCACCACCACATGCTCTCTGCCGCCCTGCTGCTGCTGGTTCTGGTGTGATTGCTGCGGTTGCTGCTGTGGGGTGACCTGAAGCCGCATGGTTGATGAGGCTTCCCCTGGGGATGGTGGGTGGGAGGAAGTAAGAGAGGAAGAGGTTGGGTGGAAGGGGAGAGCGGGTGACAGCACAGCAGGAAGGAGAAGAGAGCTTTTGAGAATTCTCAAGAGAGAGCACGTAGGGAAACATACTTTGAAGCAGCTGTGAGGGAATGAAGTTGACACGGATTTTGAGTGAGATTGTGTGGTTTGGGTTGCTTTGAAAACCAAGAAAAAGGCATACTTTGCCAGCACAGGTTGTGAGGCACATCAACAGTTTTGACATACTTTGCAGCACTGCATGTCAATAAAGACAGCCCGACTAGCTAGAGATAAGAGGTCGTTGCAAGAAGAAGGGAACGAGGAAGATGGAATGGAGAGGGAGCAGAGAAAGACGTACTCTGCAGCAGCTGCATGCCAATAGAGACAGCCCGACTGGCCAGCAATAACAGGTCTGCTCGCTCCTTCTCCCTCTCCGCCTCCCCTTCCTCCTGCCCTGCACCCCCCATTTGACCCGCTCCCTGCTGCTCCTGATCCCTCCTCTCCCGCTCTTCCCTTCGCTCCGTTGCTGCTGCTGCTGCCGTGGCCCAACCACGGTACGCCACATCAGCAGCGATGTAATCCACCTGGACCAATGGGAGGGAGTGTGGAGGGCGGGATGGGGGAGAGTGGAAGATGACAGGGGAAAGGGGAAACGATGGGGGTGGAGGAGGCGAAGGGGGAAGAGGGAGAGGATGAGGGAAAGAGGAAACGATGGGGGGAGGTGGAGGTTAAGCGGGAAGAGGGAAGGGGGAGAGAAGGGGAAAAGGGGAGACGATGGCGGGAGGTGGAGGTGAAGGGGGAAAGGAGGACAACACACAACGTACCCAGAAGTCAAATTCGCTGAGCTCCACACTCTCCTCTTCCTCCTCCTCATCTCCCTCTTCCTCTTGCTCCTCTCGCTCTGCCCCCTCCTGGCTTCGCCTCGCCTCCATCTCTGTGTGAATGCCCGCCACTGTATCTGCCAGCAGGGCGGCAATGGAGCGCCCTGATTGGCTGGACGGGCTGCCGCTGCTGCTGCCGCCCTCCGCGTGTGCCGCCAGGAGCATGGCGCGCAGCAGAAGGTTCCTGGAAAGAGGGCGTGCGAGAAAAGGGCAGAGCAGGGAGAGGAGAAAGCAAGAGGATTTAGAGTGAGGTTATTCCATTTCAGAGGCACTGTTGCTCACACCATGCCATCCAAACAGTTTCTTACAAATCACCCATTTTTTGATTCCCACCCCTCACAACCCTCTCCATCACCCTCCTCCCTGTCCTCTAGCTGCTCCTCTGCCTCTCACTCTCTCACCCGTGCTGCAGGGCCAGTCGCTGCATCTTCCTCCTCTCCCTGCCCCGCTCCGCACTGCCCACTGTTGCCGGGGCAGTGTGGGGTCCGTGACCACCCACTCAAACAGACACTGCCCTCTGCACGGTGCGTTTGAGAACTCTCAAACACACACTGCCCTCTCCCCCCCCCCTTGCAACTCACCCATGCTGCAGGGACAGTCGCTGCATCTTCCTCCTCTCCTCATCTCCCTCTCCCTGCAACAACTCACCGGTGCTGCAGGGCCAACTGCCGCAACCCCTCTCTCTTTCCGCATCCAGCTCACCCATGCTGCAGAGCCAGTCGCTGCATCTTCCTCCTCTCACTGCCCCACTCTGCACTGCCCACTGTCCCCGGGGCAGTGGGGTCCGTCACCGCCCACTCAAACGCTGCCACCTGTCCCCTCAGATCCGCCAGAACTGCTCTCGGCCAATCAGAGGCCGGCAGGACCCCGGGATCCGACCAATGGGAGCACTTGGAGAGGAACCTGGTGGGGTGGGAGAGGGAGGGAGAGGGGGAGGAGGGGGGGGGATGGGGAGGGGGAGGGGGAGGGGGAGGGGGAGGGGGAGGGAGAGGGGAAGGGAGAGGGGGAAGGGGATGAGAAGGGGAGATGGTGTCCATGTGGGAAACAAAGGGGTTTGGAAAAATGGTTGATGGGCATGGAGAAGAGGAGAGGAACAACAGGGGAGCGAGAGAGGGGAACCGATGGAGAAGGTTGGGGACTGTCAGGTGATAAGACGACTTATGGCAGGAGAAATGAGCTGCGGGAAGAGAAACGTGAAATGAGGGTGTTTTCGAGACGTCTAAAAAAGAACCGATGGAGAAGGGTGGGAAATGTCAGGTGGTAAGTAGACTTATGGCAAGAGAGAACAGATGGGGAAAGAGGGGTAAGTGTGCCTGTGCATCTGTTCAGGATGTTTGGCATGTAATGGGTGAGGAGAAAAGAGGGGCACACCTGTTGAGCATTGTGGGGACAGAGTCAGGGCCGGAGAGAGGGAGGTGCAGACACAGCGCCTCCACTGTTCGCCTCTTGGCCTCAACACTGGTGACACGCGGGACAGAAGGCGGCAAGTGGTTAAATGAAAGGAATGAACAGGAAGGGAGCAGGAAAGCGAGAGTGAGGAATCGAAAAAAAAAATGATTTCTGGGAATTTCAGATAAGAGGTGGTTGAATGGGGAGTTGAAAGGAATGGTCGGTGTGCAGCAGAGGCTCGTATTAAGAGTGCGTTGGGAATGGTTAAGTGATTTGTGAAGGCCTCATAAAATCTGAAAAGGCATTTTAAATAGGGAGCACTTGAGTCACCATAGCACTGAATTAGCCAGCAGCAGCTGCCGCAGGAGCACCACCACTACTACCCACCATCCCCCCACCAATACTACCCACCATCCCCACCACCACTACTACCCACCATCCCCACCACCACTACTACCCACCATCCCCACCACCACGGCAACGCACCGAAGCGTGAGAGTAACGCGACGAGGCTAGTGAAAAGGGGGATGGAATGAAAGGGGCTGTTGGATGCTGAGCTGGCAGCAGCAGCAGCAGCAGCAGCAAGCAGCAGGCAGCAGCAGGCAGCAGCAGCAGCAGCAGCAGCAGCAGCAGCAGCAGCAGCAGCAGCAGCAGCAGCAGCAGCAGCAGCAGCAGCAGCAGCAGCAGCAGCAGCAGCAGCAGCAGCAAGCAGCAGCAGCAGCAGCAGCAGCAGCAGCAGCAGCAGCAGCAGCAGCAGCAGCAGCAGCAGCAGCAGCAGCAGCAGCAGCAGCAGCAGCAGCAGCAGCAGCAGCAGCAAGCAGCAGCAGCAGCAGCAGCAGCAGCAGCAGCAGCAGCAGCAGCAGCAGCAGCAGCAGCAGCAGCAGCAGCAGCAGCATCCAACAGCCCCCTTTCATGGAAGGGGGCTGAAACGAAGGGGACCCAAGATTCGTTCGCAGCAGCTGCAGCAGCAGCAGCAGAAACACCACCACTACACACACAGCCACCACCACAGGAACGAACCTGTCTGTCTTGCGCTGTTCAAAGAGTTGAAGGAAGAAGTCAGAGGCGAGGGAGGGTGTGAGCAGCAGCAGCGCCAATGGTACCACCACCTGCCACTACCATGACAACAACCAGCACAAACACCATCCCCATCACTCAATGCACGCACCTGTCTGTCTTGCGCTGCTCGAATAGCTGAAGGAAGAAGTCAGAGGTGAGGGAGGGCGTGAGCAGCAGTGAGGCGTAGAGCGGTGTGAGATGGTCCCTGCGCTGCGCTGCCAGCAACACACAGTAGCTGATGGGATGAGAGGGGGCAGGGAGTGGGGAGAGCATTGGGGAACGGGGAAAGAAGCGAGGGCGTGAGCAGCAGAGAGGCGCAGAGGGCGTGAGATGGTCCCTGCGCTGCGCTGCCAGCAGCACACAGTAGCTGATGGGATGAGGGGGATGGGAGTGGGGAGAGAATAGGGCAATGAGGAAGCAAGCGAGGGCGCGAGGAGCAGAGAGGCATGGAGCGGTGTGAGATGGTCCCTGCGGTGTGCTGACAGCAGCAGCACACAATAGCTGATGGGATGGGGAGACGATTTGGGAGCATACAGACTATGCAAGAGCGAGAGGGGGAGAGACTGAAGGAATAAGGAAGAGAATCGGAAAAAAGGGCCACCATGCACCAGGTATCACCTGCACCAGGTATCACCTGCACCAGCTATCACCTGCACCAGGTATCACCTGCACCAGGTATCACCTGCACCAGCTATCACCTGCACCAGGTATCACCTGCACCACCTATCACCTGCACCAGGCCCACTCACGTTTAGAGGATGACGTCCCCTGATGTGTTGAGCCAGTCCCTGTACTGGTGGTAGGTGCATGTGATGATACACCAGATGCACCTGACAGACACACATGCATGCTGCTGCCTGCCAACTATGCTCACGTGTACAGGATGACATCTCCCGATGTGTTGATCCAGTCGCGGGTACTGCTGGCGGGCAGCTGATGATGCGCCTAGTGCACCAGATCTACTGATGTACCTGCAAAGCAAAATGCTGCCAGCCACACTCACGTGTACAGAATGACATCGCCTGACGTGTTGAGCCAGTCCCTGTACTGCTGGCGAGCAGCAGCGGGGAGCACGGAGCGCAGAAGCACCACCAGGTGGGCGCCACACCGCACCAGGGAAGGGTCGGAGCTGGGAGGGGAGAAAGAAGGGGGCATAATGGGTGGAAGGAGGAGGACAGGGGATTGTGCGAGTGGAAAGCAAGGGGGTGGAAAGAGGAGATGAGGTAGTAAACGGGGCAGGTGGAGCAGGGGGTTGAGGCCCGAAAACGGGGCAAGCAGGGGAGTGTGAACGCAGCATTGTGGCAAACGGGGATGGGAGCATGGGGCAGGGGCAGCAGCAGCAGCAGCAGCCGGTGGGTCAAGCGCATTATGACACATGCGGCGGGTGCTGATGCCGAGTGGCGGGTGCTGATGCCGAGTGGCGGGTGCTGATGCCGAGTGGCGGGTGTTGATGCCGAGTGGCGGGTGTTGATGCCGAGTGGCGGGTGTTGATGCCGAGTGGCGGGTGTTGATGCCGAGTGGCGGGTGTTGATGCCGAGTGGCGGGTGTTGATGCCGAGTGGCGGGTGTTGATGCCGAGTGGCGGGTGCATATGCGAGCACACTTGAGCTGGGCTGATTTGAGCTGGGCTGATTTGAGCAGGGGTGAATGCATGTGCAACTAGAAAAAACCTAGTCGCTCTCCAAACTGTCGGCGAGAGCAGGAGCCAGCCTTGTACTCGTTCAGAGAAGAGAAAGAGAAACAGAGAGGAGCACCTACTCGCTCTCGGGAGTGCCGCCCAGAGAAGCAGCACTCCTGAGGGAGCCATCGACGGGATAATGTTTTTGAAAACTCTCAGAAGCAACTCCAGCAGAGAGGGAAAGGGCACCTACTCGCTCTCCACATTGCCGCCCAGAGAAGCAGCCAATCCCGACGGAGCCACGAGGGGATGATCCACGACCGCAGCGCCTGGATGGTTCCTGGAACGTTCCTGAGAATGAGGTGCGTCTGCAGCACATGGTGTGGCTCCGTGCTGCTGCGCTTGACAGCGTCTGGGAGAGAGGGGCTGCATGGGGAGGGAAATGGGGCGAGGAGTGGAAGGAAGGGGGAAGAAGGGGAGGAGACAGTGGGCTTGGTGTGCAGCATGTGGTGCTGCTCGGTGCTGCTGCGCTTGACACCATCGGGGATGTGAGGGGCTGCATGGGAAATCCAGGGGGAACGGGTGGAGGGGGAGGGGATAGGATGGAAAAAGGAACGGGTAGGTTGAGAGAACAACAGGAGGCATAATCTGCTGGCTGTTATACTGGAGAAACAACCGCAGCCCATGAGAAACCCACAGCAGACCACAGCAGGCCACAGACCTCCGCAGCCCACCTGTTTACTACTGGCAGCACAGCAGGCCACAGCAGGCCACAGACCTCCGCAGCCCACCTGTTTACTACTGGCAGCACAGCAGGCCACAGCAGGCCACAGACCTGGTTCTGAGCTTCTGAAAGAGATCGTCAAAGTCAGCCGGTTGCTGTGCCGCCACTGGTGCCGGCCACACTGCCGCTCCCGTTGCTGTTGACACCGCTGCTGCTGCTGACGCTGCCACTGCTGCTGCTGATGATGATGAGGAAGATGGTGCAAGGGAGATGGTTGTAGCGGCGAGGGAAGAGGCGGAGGAGGAGGAGAGGAAGGGAGCGGGGGAGATGGAGGCGAGAGCACGAGCGGCAGCGGCGGAGACGGAAGGGAGGGCGCGAGGGAGGGGTGGGGAGGAGGCAGCGGAGAGGTGGGCTTCGACCTGCGAAGGGAGCAGCGAGAGGGGAGGGGCGGGAGAAGAGGAGTGAGAGGTGTGAGATGGTGGGTGCAGGAAGAGGACAGGTGTAAAGGGTTGGAAAACGATTGTATGTGCGGCTACCAGTGCCTGTGACTGTTGCGGGACAAGGGCAGAGCACGTGCTCACAGTCAGAGTGAAAGGCACGCATGTGCAACCGTGCAGGGAAAGCGTGCGGATCCATGCACGCGAATGTGGAGTGGCTGCAGGCACTCATAGGGGGTTCTTATGACGTGTCACAAGCAGTTAGATACACAGGAATGGACGAACCCCATGGGAACGGAATGGGATGCAGCAACCACTCTGATGACACCATGGGATGCAGCAACCACTCTGATGACACCATGGGATGCAGCAACCACTGTGATGACACCATGGGATGCAGCAACCACTCTGATGACACCATGGGATGCAGCAACCACTCTGATGACACCATGGGATGCAGCAACCACTCTGATGACACCATGGGATGCAGCAACCACTCTGATGACACCATGGGATGCAGCAACCACTCTGATGACACCATGGGATGCAGCAACCACTCTGATGACACCATGGGATGCAGCAACCACTCTGATGACACCATGGGATGCAGCAACCACTCTGATGACACCATGGGATGCAGCGACCACTCTGATGACACCATGGGATGCAGCGACCACTCTGATGACACCATGGATGCAGCGACCACTCTGATGACACCATGGGATGCAGCAACCACTCTGATGACACCATGGTATGCAGCGAACACTCTGATGACACCATGGGATGCAGCGACCACTCTGATGACACCATGGGATGCAGCGACCACTCTGATGACACCATGGGATGCAGCGACCACTCTGATGACACCATGGGATGCAGCGACCACTCTGATGACACCATGGGATGCAGCGACCACTCTGATGACACATGGGATGCATCGACCACTCTGATGACACCATGGGATGCAGCAACCACTCTGATGACACCCATGGGATGCAGCGACCACTCTGGTGACACCATGGGATGCAGCGACCACTCTGATGACACCATGGGATGCAGCGACCACTCTGATGACACCATGGGATGCAGCAACCACTCTGATGACACCATGGGATGCAGCAACACTCTGATGACACCATGGGATGCAGCAACCACTCTGATGACACCATGGGATGCAGCAACCACTCTGATGACACCATGGGATGCAGCAACCACTCTGATGACACCATGGGATGCAGCAACCACTCTGATGACACCATGGGATGCAGCGACCACTCTGATGACACCATGGATGCAGCGACCACTCTGATGACACCATGGGATGCAGGCAACCACTCTGATGACACCATGGGATGCAGCGACCACTCTGATGACACCATGGGATGCAGCGACCACTCTGATGACACCATGGGATGCAGCGACCACTCTGATGACACCATGGGATGCAGCGACCACTCTAATGACACCATGGGATGCAGCGAACCACTCTGATGACCCATGGGATGCAGCAACCACTCGGATGACACCATGGGATGCAGCAACCACTCTGATGACACCATGGGATGCAGCGACCACTCTGATGACACCATGGGATGCAGCGACCACTCTGATGACACCATGGGATGCAGCGACCACTCTGATGACACCATGGGATGCAGCAACCACTCTGATGACACCATGGGATGCAGCAACCACTCTGATGACACCATGGGATGCAGCGACCACTCTGATGACACCATGGGATGCAGCGACCACTCTGATGACACCATGGGATGCAGCAACCACTCTGATTGACACCCATGGGATGCAGCAACCACTCTGATGACACCATGGGATGCAGCAACCACTCTGATGACACCATGGGATGCAGCGACCACTCTGATGACACCATGGGATGCAGCAACCACTCTGATGACACCATGGGATGCAGCGACCACTCTGATGACACCATGGGATGCACCGCAACCACTCTGATGACACCATGGGATGCAGCGACCACGTCTGATGACACCATGGGATGCAGCGACCACTCTGATGACACCATGGGATGCAGCAACCACTCTGATGACACCATGGGATGCAGCGACCACTCTGATGACACCATGGGATGCAGCGACCACTCTGATGACACCATGGGATGCAGCGACCACTCTGATGACTACCATGGGATGCAGCAACCACTCTGATGACACCATGGGATGCAGCAACCACTCTGATGACACGCATGGGATGCAGCAAACCACTCTGATGACACCATGGGATTCAGCGACCACTCTGATGACACCATGGGATTCAGCAACCACTCTGATGACACCATGGGATGCAGCGACCTCTCTGATGACACCATGGGATGCAGCAAACCACTCTGATGACACCATGGGATGCAGCGACCACTCTGATGACACCATGGGATGCAGCGACCACTCTGATGACACCATGGGATGCTCACCTGAAAGTCGAGCCAACAACGCAGCAGTGCCCAGCAGTCGTCTGAGAGACCAGTGTTTCAAAAAGCAGGGTGGGGGGAGTGTGGGGGAGAAAGACAAACCAGAAGACTGAAGTAGATGCAAGCCACATACTCCAACAACAACCACATCACACGTACACGCCGCGCGATAGAAACTCAACGTTTACCAAAAGGATTGAAGTAGATGCAAGCCACAAGCTCCACGGCAACCACATACATGTACACCGCGTCCAGCCTGTATTTGGCTTTTAAGTCGACTCAAAAGTCACCCCGCGTCTGCCACCAGCAGAGAGCACTTCCACAGCCTCCTGCCCCGCCCCTTCCCTCGACCCATCTTCGCCCCCCCGTGTAGCCCGGACATGCTCAGTCACCATAAGGCACCTCTGAAAAACAGACGCACGCACCCTACCTGTCACAAGGTGCCAACCTAAGCACACACACTCACCTGCCACGAGGTGCAACCTAAGGCGCGTGAGGTCTTTGACAATTTGTAAAAGGTTTAATGTTTTTAGGGCGATTTTTAGTTTCGAACTTACAACGAAAGAAGTTCGAATTTCCTTCATCGAAGTTTCGAACATCGGGCTTACCACACTGTAAAAAATCACACACACATACAAGGTCGAACACCCGACATTCGACACTTGTTTAAAAACGAGCCGAGCCGCACCGTCAACATCATAGGTTACCAGGTTCGCTCGTCTTGACGGTGCGCCACGTCAACATTTTGCGCCTCGGTTTACAAGGACCTAGAGCTCCAACTCACCTTCCGCGCCGAGTGTGTAGGGAAACTATATTCCAGGTCCATACTTTCAGATTTCTCTCAAATTTAGCCGCGGGTCGACTAAAAAATTACTACTTTCTAGAATTTCGCTCACGCGAGGCCCAAAGTATGTTCAAAACTGGTCCTGCGGGGCGAAGTTTTCGACACGTGTCCAATTTCGCTTTGAAAAAATTTCGACGGGGCAAAAAATAATAAAACCTCGGGACCTAGGGCACATTTGCGGGAGGGATCAACCCTAAACACCAAGCGGGTCCCCGTGTTTAGGGTTGGTCCCTCCCGAACGTGTGTCCTGGTTCCCCTAGGGGTTTTATGTTTTTTGCCCCCGTCAGAAATTGCTAATAAGAAACAGGACGCGTGTCGAAAAGTTTGCCTCGCAGGACCAGTTTTGAACATAATCTGGGCCTCGCGTGAGCAAACTTCCAGAAAGCTGTACTTTTTTAGTGGAATTAAGACTAAATTTGAGATATTTTTGAAACTATGGAGCTGGGATATACTTTCCCAAGTGTGTAACCAGGGTACAAATAGCCCCTGTGGCAACACCTTGTATGCTGGACACGTGGCTACAACTGTGTGCACGAATTGTGGGGTGTCTTCGTTGTGCAACTTCATGCACTGGCGAAGCGCTCGCCCGTTTCGCCAGCTGTTCGGACGTGCTGCAAATCACACACGCTCGCATGAACGTGAGCACGCACGTTCGCGCCTCCGACTCGAGTCAAGTTCATATTTCAAACTCGAACTTTTGCAGAGCCCATACAATGCTTGGTTCGCGAAGCACCCTTCGCGAAATTAGCGAATAGGGTAACCACCAAAGTTCGAACTTTATTTTGAACTTCTAAACAGACCACACGCGCCCTAAGCACACACACTAACCTGCCACGAGGTGCAAACCTAAGCACACACACTCACCTGCCACGAGGTGCAAACCTAAGCACACACACTCACCTGCCACGAGGTGCAAACGGGCAGTATCCTCTTCACATTGCCACACAGCGCTCCCAGCACAGCCGCCTCAAACCGACTGGTTGAAGCTTCAGAAGCCACCAGCAGAGACCATTTCCACAGCCGCCTTCCCCGCCCCTCCCCCCCCTCCACCCGTCTTAATCCCCCATGTAACCCAGGCATGTTCAGCCACCGCAAGGCACCTCTGAAGGACACACACACACGCGCACCTGCCATGACGTGCAGACAGGCAGTATCCTCTTCACATTGCCACACAGCGCTCCCAGCACAGCCGCCTCAAACCGACTGCTCGAAGCCTCAGACGCCACCAGCAGAGACCATTTCCACAGCCGCCTTCCCCGCCCCTTCCCCCCCTCCACCTCCCCCGCCTGTGCCGCCCGCCTCGCCCCTCCACTCATCTCCCGCCACGTGGCGGCTGTGGGGAAGCTCTCCCCTGCCGCCCCAGCGCTGGGCGGCGCGGCCCATGTCCCGCCGAGAACCGCCGCCCGCCAGGTCTGCCCGCCGCCGCCCGGCAGAGGTTGAGGGCATCTTGAATCCGGCCAGCGGTGATGAGCGTGAAGACGTCTGATAGCAACTCACTCCTCCACTCGCTGGGGGAAGGAGGAGGAGGGGAAGAGGGGAATGAGAGTGGGGAATAAAGAGAGGGAAGAAGGAAGGGGAGGAGGGAGGGGTGATGCCATGAAGCAGCAGTGATGAGCGTGAAGATGTCTGATAGCAACTCCTCCTCCACTCGCTGGGGAAGGAGCGTGCATGGAGTGAGGCGTGGAGAAGATGGTGGGTGGGTTTAGAGGGGTGGCAGTGGTGAGCGTGAATATGTCCGATAGCAACTCCTCCTCCACTCGCTGTGAAGAAGTGGAGGGGTAAAAGATGAGAGGAGGTAAGGTGGGGGGAAACAAGGGCCCATATGGTGGCAGTGGTGAGCGGAGCATGAATATGTCCGATAGCTACTCCTCCTCCACTCGCTGGGGAAAGTGAGAGAGCTATGGAGGAGAGGGACGAGGGGTGAGGTACGGAACATGAGAGGGGGATGGGGAAGTGGGAAAGGGTGGGGAGAAGAA